ATGGATACCCAGAAATTAGAAGATAATCGCAGAGAAAAATTTCTAGACATATCACAAAACACCAAATATAAAAAAAAAACAACAACACCAATATCAACAACAACAATAACAACAAATCCCACAATACACAAAAAAACAAAAAATACCAATCCCAATAATAACAACAAACACCTTTAAACAATTCCTCAAATTAATAATATAAATCGAAATGACAAATTAACTAATATCATTCTTTAATTATTTTCCCAAAACTTATCTATGCCTATACAGGATAAAATAAATTATTAGAGAGGCATTAGTCCCCAAACTAAGTAGTTACTTTCTTTTTTCCTTGCCCCAAGGTTTTTTAACAGAAATATACTTAGAACAGTAGTAGGCTAACATATATAATGATGTATCTTAGTATCTTAATATTAATCATGTAATAGTCCAATTACTCTATTAATAAAGATCATGAGAAATGTCTCACTAACATTAAAAAATAATAATAATATATATATATATTTTATAGATAAACATTATTTCTTTATTTTACTTATATATAACAGGATATATATTGTGAAAGAAACAACATTTCTCATATGTTGATATAATAAGTTAAATGCTAGCTTGTCTATAATAACCATATAACTAATATTGAAAAGAAAGTTTAAAACAATATATCTTGCCATGTGGCACTGAGCAGCTATAAATACCTACTCAGTATTAAGAAGAATAGTGTTTGGAAGAAATGATACTAATTTTTGAATATATCTGTTATAGTTATAATTATATTGAATAAAAAAGTTAGTGACAATTATTGGTAGATCTATAATGATTTTGTTTTGGATAGCATTGGAGTGTGAGCTTCTAATAAAGAAAGTATAAATTTTTTTTTAGTTTGATTAGATTGGCAGTGTTTAGGAGTTCATTTGATTTTCATTTGATACCAGTAAGAAGTGAAGTGTTGATGATATTACATAATGGTTTTCAAATTGAGTTATATAATTGGGTTAAGAATTCTGTTGACATCTTGATTCAGCTGATAGTATCTGTTATAAAGAAGATTTTGTTAGTCATACCACATGACAGTTCTATAACTTGCTATATGTAGGAAATTGGTTTGAAATTATTATTCAGATGGTAAATTTGGTTGATACTGTTTATGATTTGATTGACATCTTTTGAAGCTTCAGGGTATTTGAAGACATGTTGAATATCTTTAGTATAAAGTTCACATCTTGAACAATATTCATGAAATATTGGTCAGGATGATGTTGGTAAATATTTGGTGAGTTGGGAGTGTTCCTAAAAGAAGTTTAATTCTAAATGCTATTAGGTTGCTATGCTATTGTTATATATCCTTTTGATATCTTTATTGGATTGATTAATGATTTTTAAACCATATGGAGTATAAGTAAATAATATTATATTTGATAATAATATTATGTTATATAGCACTTTCATATAATTAGATATTCAAATATCTTTAGTTAATTAGATATTATTTAAGACTATAATATAGATTTTGAATTTCTTTTTACAATATTTCTTGAATGTTGCCAAGAAACACTGGGATATAATTGTTTATAAGTCTATATTTAATTTATTCTAATAAAAAGAGTTGTATATTATACTATTGATAATTGTAATCTAAGTTAATACTTCTTAATATATATTTTGAGAAAAAAATCTACCAATCAAAGAAATAATAAAATAAAATAGGATATTTCAAAAAGAAAAAAGATCTAGAAAGAAAAACTTTTTAAAAAAAGAAAATCTAACTTTGAAAGAATAAGAAAATGAAAATGATTATAAAAAAGATTTGTAGAAAAAGAAGAAAAAATAAGAGAAGAGAAGTAAAAAATATAAAAAAAAGCAAGAAAAAAAATAATATAAAATTTTAAGTATAGTAGAAAAAGTAAAAAAGATGGTTTTTTATATAAATTAAAAAAAAGTTTTTTTAAAAAATATATTTTGGATTTTAATAAAAAAATTCTTAATTTAATATAATAAAAAAGAATCGTAATTTTTTAATTATATTATAAAAAATACTTGCTTTATTTTTTAATATTAATTAGATTTACCAAATATCAATTAGTCAATATTTTATTGAAATTTATATGAAATTCTAAATTTTTATTTAAATATAATGATATTTATTAAATAAACAATAAATTTATTGAAATTATAACTAATATTTATTATTTTTGAATTATATATTTATTATTTTATAATATAATATATAGAATTCAATTTATTTATAAAAATTGTTAGAAGGATATAGTTTTAAACAAAAATATATGTTGTTTATATTACTTGAATGTAATTGTATTATATTTTTTTTTTCACAACTGGCATATATCTTGTTTTACGAGGTTTTTTTACAAGTATATACAAATTTGTATTATACAAATTTCCCACTGCTAATTCCCAAGTAGAACTATCTAAGATTCAGATTATTCTTATCTATCGGTCAACTTATTGTCCTCCATTCTTTCTATATTACTAGCACCAAAATCCTGATCGCATAGATAGAGTGCTAATGTATCAGGATATATACTTTTTAGTCCTACCCACCATCTGATGAATGGAAACTCGAAGAACTGTATCCTAATACGATCAGCCACAAACTAGCCATATTTGACAAAAAGTTTTTGTGGCTCTAGCTAGGTCACTTTGAAAAATCAGGTTTTCTTTTATAGTCTCATGGACTAAAGAAGTGAGAAAAAGTGCTCCATGCATGAGAAACGGGGAAAGCACCAAACTTGACAATGATCATCATAACACTGCCAGACAATCGTTATGCCGCTATGCTTTTCTTGGTATCACAATCCTAATGCCTGTTAAATTAATATGTGAATTGGCTTCCTATAGAAAATAGCGCATGTTAGGTTATAGCAGCAGATATTATGTTAAGATGGTCCAATTGCATTTATCTGGAACTGAACTTGATATCTTGTAATAGTGATCAGAAGATGCCAATCCTTTCCTTCTGGTTTGGGGTTTCACATTAGCCTTCTGAAGGATTTGAACTATTATCTTGTAATCTGACCTGCAGAGTACTAACCACTGTGCTATAGACCCACAGGTCATATAATTGTATTATATTTAAAAATAAATAAATAAATAAGAATAGTTGAAGTTTTTAAATATTCTTATTTGATAAAATTTTTTTTTATTTACAATTTTTTTTATAATACACTTGGTGATTCAAAAAGTTTTTTTTAAAATTTTAAAAATTCTATAATTTTTTTTCCATGAAATCATTTAACCTTGATAACTTATCTTGTCATCCATAGAAAAAAGTGAAAAAAATACAAGCAATAGAATAAAATTTGTAATCTGATTGCATAAAATATAAGAAATTTAAAAACATGTTTGAATCTGCACTCACTTTGGTTAGGTAGGACCAACAAAACATTAAAAAAAAAACCTTATTATTAATGGAGAGAAATGAAAAATAAGTATAATATGAAAAAAGGAATTAATAGCAAATCTTTATATATTTATCAAATTAATCCGTTGCTCAAAATCAATTTATTAGTGAAAAACTTGCCGATAATGTGGCTTATGATTATTAATTTACATGATATATCATTTACACATTTATCATTTTATTTTGTTTGTTTACTATTGTTGTGGGAACAATAGGGATGGGATTGCGACATTGTGGCGCGTCGCGTAATAATGGTAACACTGATGGTGGAAGATGGTGGAATGATGTAATAATTAGTAATAGCATGTAATAACATGGACGTATCCACAAGGCATATAAATAGGATAGTTTAGGTAGCATTGGAAAAACAAGTTCTAGATCGGAGATTTAGAGTTTCGTTTAGAACGCTTCTTTGTTTTTGACACTCGCGTTTTAATAAAATAAATACTAATTTACTTCGCACAATAAACAGTTCACATTCTTTAAGTATAAACTAAGCCTACGCCACTACAGTAAAGTAAACGCCTTTAAGAAGGAGAGACGCGACGTTACCTTTTGCATCGTGAAGAGTGTGACACTTGTAATCTTGAGACGCGCCTAGAGGGAAGACGGTCAAGAAGATATTAGCAAGTGCGAAAGTCGGCCAAATTGTAACCTCCTCGGAGTTAAAGCATTACCTTATTTAGTACCGAAACCCAAGCGTTCGGATTATCGTCACGCGAAGAGTGCGCCATTTTAGCCGGTGACGACAACACTGTATACAAAAGATTATGTTAAATACAGCAAATAATATTAGTAATAAATATTGTTTTAAACATATATCGTTAAGTGCCGTATATATTTTACTACAAATATGTTCTGATTATTATGTCACAAAAAAAAATGTTTTACAGTACAGCATAAAGTTACTAAATCAACAGTATTATTATTTTCGAAGGCGGACAGGGATTTTCCGGGCACTATAACTTTATTTAAAATAGGAACCGAAAAAAATCATTTCTAGCATTTTTTTCACCTTCAAAAATAATTAACCATATTGTTATGGGAAAGTCAGTACAACATAATGGTAAACTGTGGGTGCATATAAAACTATCTTATAAATTTTTTGAATTTGTTAAACATTTAGGAACAAGAACAGCATGTACTGTATAAAAAAAGTCTTTATTGTATAATAAACAAAATTATACTTACTCAATCAAATAATCACGCCTCTATTAATTACCATTAAGACCCAATGGTGTGTCAGTTGGCGCATCATTGCTTGTGAATTTCCACATACTTTAAATAAAGGCAACCCTAATGATTACCTTTCTATATGCTGTATTGATATAGCAAATTATCGGAACAGAATACGGAATTTGATTTACTATTCCAAATGCATTTATTGAAGCAATACAATCTCATTCAAAATATACAATGAACACATTAACTTGAATAATATTTATATTAAAAAACGACAACCTTTGTGAAAAACTATTTACATGCTTTTATAAATTATATCATGACCATAGATAAACTGAAAAAAATGTCTGGTTCAATAAAAAAGCAACAAGTTTGATATAACAATTAAGTATTTCTTGAATCAGTGTCTACGATTTTGTTTTTGTTGAAGGGCTTTCAACCTCGTAGATGCTTCCTTATTTCCTTGGTTGGATGCCTCATTATACCAAGTGACGGCTTCGTCAGTGTTTTTATTAACGCCTTTACCAAGTTCATATGCCCTTCCAAGTTTATATTGTCCAAAACTATTACCTCCAATTGCCGATCTTTGATACCAATTAAATGCTTCTTTTTTATTGACACCAACTCCGTAACCCTTTTTATAACAATTTCCAACGTTATATTGCGCTTCAGGAGATCCAGCTTTTGCTGATTCCAAATATAAATTAAATGCTTTAATTTTATTCTTTTTGACACCGTTTCCACGTTGATATAGCACGGCAAGATTATTTTTGGCAATGTAGCTCTCATTTGATGCTCTTTCGTACCATTGAAAAGCGTTTGAATAATCAACTTTTGTACCAATACCTAAGTGAAAACATCTTCCATATTTAAATTGGGCAGCATGAAACCCCATTTCGGATGACCTTTTGTAACAATTAAAGGCTTCCGATTCTAATTCTAGAGTCCCTCTCCCAGATTCGTAGCAGCATCCTAACAAATATTGACCAATGTCGTTATTTTTTGATGCTGCATATAAATATTGTGTATATGCTTCCCCAAAGTCCTCTTGAATCCCTACCCCCAGCTGGTAAAATAAGCCTAAAATTACGCTAAAATTAGGTTCTTTTTGAGAATGTTTGTTTAAATAATCAAATAGTATTTCCAAAGATTGCTGTTTGCTATCCATGTGTTCTTGGATACATTCTTTCAGATATTTGTTGGTCATTATACCACTATTAAGTTCATTCCTTACCACATTAACTAATAATGTAATTAGTGGTACAAACAATTCTGAATACTGCACAAAGTCATTATTACCATCGCTGTTTTCTGTACCAGGGTCATTATTACTGCTTCCGTTTTCTATACCAGTATTATTGTTATTATAGTAGTTTTCTATGCCAAGGGCATCGAAAGTTAGTCCAAGAAGTTTGCTGTCTGCTATATTAACGTCGCTGTTGACTATATCAGGAATTATTGTGGATGTATCCTCCAATGAATGTAATTTATTAAGAACCTCATGAATATTAGGTCTTTCTTTAGGATCCCCTTTTCGGCACTCTAATGAAATTATATAATTCGGTGAGATTATTATTTGTAGAAAATAGAGACCGAATTGTACTTAGGCAGAAGCCATCACACTTACCGTCACAAATTTTCTCATATTCTAATGGAATTTCTTTTTCTATACGACTGGAATGAACACCAGTACTAAGTATTTCCCAAAATAAAACTCCTAAACTATATACATCGGCTAAAATGGCGCACTCTTCGCGTGACGATAATCCGAACGCTTGGGTTTCGGTACTAAA